GCGGCGGATGGGGCCGGGGCCGGGGCCGGGGCCGGGGCCGGGCCGCCCCACACCACGCGCACGTAGTCCCAGTCTAGGTAAGGAAGGAGGTCGGTCCCAGGCGATGGCGTGTGCGGCTCGGGACAGCCCGAGGCCGCGGAGAAAGAGCTGTAGGCCGAGTCGGCGTGCGCGGACAGCCGCCGCAGTTCCAAGCTGCGAGTGGATGAGGCTGGCGAGGCGCGGTCACCCCCAGGACCCAGGGCCTCCATGGCTGCGCGGATGAATGCTGAGGGTGGCTAGCTCCGTGGGCCCTGGAAGAACATTGACGACGTGGTGGGTGGACAGCTCGGGGTAAGGGTTAGCACCGCCTGCTGGCCCCTCCAACACGGACAGCCAGGTGCTTACACATCGCCTCCCTGGTCACACGATCCTTAGTGCTGGCATTTCACCCCGGGTCAGGGATGGCGTGGGCAGTAGGAGCAGGCCCCGGGGAGCAACTCTTGAGGTTGAGGGCCTTAGCTCAGGGGAAGGAATTGGCAGGTAGCCTATTCCCCGCCGAGGCTCTCCTGGCCCGCAGCCCCAGCTTCTACCCTGGCACCTCCCGGAGCGCTGAGAATGTACCCATGCTCCTGCCCTCTCCAGCCCTGTCCCACCCAGGCTGCTTCCTGGCTGCTTTGTTAGCTTCTCCGCGGGATCTTTCTCTGATAAACAATGGTCAAGAACGTTCTGAGATCACAGGGGAACCAAGAAAGGAGGGGGGAAGACCCGGGTTAGGTGGCAGGGGCAGCTTCACACCCTTCCTCCAGCTGTACCAGTTATGTTCCAGGTGCTTTATATAAATACTTGATCCTCAACCACTGCTATCTGCATTTTACAGACGAGGACACTGAGGTTCTGAGGGGAAATGATTTGCCCAGGAGCACACAGCTGGTAAGAGGCAGAGCCCTGCCTGGAATCTGGGCCTGCCTCCAAGCTTACAGCAGCCAGAATCAATTTCCTAGAAGCAAACCCTGCTGAAAGCCAGTTTACCTCCACCCCCCAGCTGCCTGAAGCCTCCAACAAAGCCCAGACTCCATTGTGGGAAAAATCAAAATACTGGCAGATTCCAGAATAATATGGTCCCTCCTTCGGAGACTCTGCCTTTTGTCTAGGAATGACAGGTTCACCCCCACCCCCATTGTCCTGCTACTCTTGCTCCTCCTGTAGGGCTCAGCTTAGAGGTCTCCTGACCTTTTGGGGTCCCTACAGCATCCTGAGCTTCCTCCATCACAGCACTCGTCACCCTGCATTGTAATTGTTGGCTTGCTTGTGATTCCCTCTTCCCATTCCCACCCCTGAGCTTCCTGAGGACAGGCCCTGCACGTACTCATCTCTGTACACTCAGTGGCCAGCATGCAGTCGATGTTAAAGGAATATCTGTTGAATGGCAAGGGAAGGAGCAGATTGCAGGGAGTAGATGGGGGTTGCTATGGTGGCCAAGGAAGAGGGCTATTTTGCTTCTGCTCACTCTTCTCTCCCTATTAGTCTTTGATGGGGAAGGGGACAGAGTGGGTGAGGCAGTTGCCACTGTGGACACTGACCAGGTTACTCATGCATTATTAGGAACCAAAAGAGCAAGCAAGCACAGCTCGGAGCACAGAACGGCCAGAAATCAATATCTCCCCACTGCCGGGAAGGGGAGCGAGGGGAGGAGTTGAGCGGGTGTGCCTAAGTCAGGTGAGAGAGCAGCTTTGAGTCTTGGGAACCTGGGGCTCCCTATGGGCTATGGGACTTTGGTGGGGAGGTGGGCTTGCTTTCCCTGAGCTGCTTGGTGGGGAGTGCAGAAGTGGCCTGCAGCTGGGGTGGGAACTGGAAAGCAGGCTCATCTGGAGCCTTCTAGAGACTATTTAGAGCTCAGGGTCACTCTCCATCCCCTTCCCTGAGGCCCTAGATGCTACAGATTGCTGGTCAGGGAAGGTAGGGAGGATATAGTGTTTCTTAAAAGGGAGAAGCAGTACCTGCAACATTCCCAGGAGGGGCTCTCAGCTGACCTGGGACCAGAACATCTTGACATCACCCACCTGGAGGCATCTTTATGCCCACTAAGGCCAGCCCTGCAGGTTGGTCCTCGCACTCAGGCTTGGGGACCTCTTTGGCAAACTGTTTCCACTTTCTGGACTTCAGGGAGACGAGAAGCTATTCTGAGTAGCAGCCCCTGGGAAAAGAGTCACCTCCTCTAGGAAATCAATCCTAGCTGCCCACACACTAGCCCCCTCTCTTCCTATCCTTCTGAGCTCAGCTTGGGAGCACAGTTTACCCTGGCTTATGCCACCCATGCCTGCCCATGTTGGCTTGCTGCATCTACAGGCAGGGGTGACTGCTCAAATACAAAGAAGTCTCCTCAAAAAAGGCCTTGAAAATTCTATCTTATTTGTGAGTTACTGTGTTGACAAAGGATTCTGAGTTCACTAAATAAAAACAGCTTGAATGGATAATAAAAATGTGTGTACATATCTGCTTTTTTATTGACCCTAACTTGTCTCGAGGATGCTTTTGCACTGGTGGTCCGAGCAGGTTGATACCCATGCAGGATGCTCACACTGTGCCCTTTGCGGAACCTGCTATGCCAGGAGGGTCTAGCTCCTTTAGTGTGTTTTGGGGCCTCAGCACAACGAGCAAGGAGTTTTCACACTTGTCTGGTTGCAGGGAGCCTCTTGCAGTCCAGCCAGCCCCTCTGGCTGGGGGTGGCCACATCCCAGGAGCTCTAGCATCAGTGTTAGTGTCAGCTGTGGGCTGGGCTGCAGAGTCAGGGCCTGCATTGAACAGAAGTCCAGAGGCTGGACCTCAAAGAACTCTGCAGGCATCTTGTCAAGCTTTGGCAGAGCAGGGGGAATAGCATGGAATCCCTGCTAGAAAACCACCAGATTGGGGTCCTGCGAAGCGGGGTGGTGGTGGGGGGGAGCATTCAAGATATACTTGTCACCTGAATGAAAGAGCAAGAGAGGAAAAGGAGACAAAGATGACTTCAGCATTCAGAGCTGGGGGCCTGGGAGGTGGAGGAAGGAGGAACCTGAGATGGGGACTGGCCAAGGGGTCCAGTGCTCATTCAGTCTGAGGCCTGTGGGCTTTGCAGTGTTTGTGGCAAGCCATTGGGAAGTTGGGATGTGAGTCTGGACCTCAGCAGAGAGGTTGAACCAGGCAAGCAGACAGACCCAGGTTTTTAGTTAGAGGTTGTTGGGGAAATAGTTGAAGACAGCTTGCGGTGGGTAAAACCACACCACGGAATCAGGAGCAGATCCACGTAAGGTGGTCGACCAGAGAGGCAGGAGAATACAGCCTCGAACGATCAGCAATGATCAGGAATTAAATCGTATCTCTCTCAAAGGCCACCTCACATCTGACCTCTCTGTGGAGAGGTTGTCCAGGCCACCCCTCCCGGATGGTCTTCCCTCAGCGCTAGGCTCACTGTGGGGCACTAGGCTGCCTGCATGGCAGTCTTCTGCTAGACTGAGTTTCCGGGACCTGGGCCGTGGTCTGGCTGGGCAGGCATTTTGGGAAGTTCTGCGGCTCTCCCAGGCCCCAGCGGCCTCCCATTCTCCTGGCCTGTTGGCGCCAACCGCGCATCGGCGCAGCATCCGCTCTCCGCTCACTCCAGCCCAGATGTAGAGTCTCCAGAGACTCCAGCTCTGTGCCGGGCGCAGGAAATGCGGGATGCTGGCGGCACCTGGAGAGAGGAGGCCGCGGTCGTGGTCGGACCACGTACCTGGGGCTTCAAGCTCTGCGAGTGGAGGCACGCGAGGGAGGAGAGGGGCGCAGGCCTGGCGACCGCAGGGGGCGGCAGAGTCACGCGGTGCGGCCGGAGCGGGGCCCCGCGGAGACCAGGAGAGCGGATGGCCGCTGGCCGGCGCATTTCTCGGCCTTTCCTGTTGGGTTCACCGTCCGGGAAGGAGGGCTCAGAACGCGTACAGGGAGACAGAGCGGTCTTGAGCAGGAGGGACCCGGATTCTCCAGCGGCTCGGCGGCCGAGGGGCGGGAGAGGGGGCGGAGGGGTCTCGGAGACCCCACTCCCTGCTTTGGTCCAGCGGGCTTCCCCAGCAGCTCTGGCCTCTCGGTGGGTCTGCGTTCTCCCCACCCTCCACCCCTCTGCGAAGAGTACAGGCGCGCAGGGGCCCGACTCAACTCGCGCAGACCAGACTCGGCGCGAGTTGGACACCTCCAGACCCAACGACGCACGGCTGCTCCGCGGCCCAGCAACGCCTCCACCCTCGAGCCTCCTCCTGGGAATAGCGATCC